TTCTGCGTCCGAGGGAAGATCATTGTAAGGCTGCCACCCGCCGGGTCCCATTCTGCGTCGGAGGGGAGATCACTGTAAGGCTGCCACCCGCCGGGTCCCATTCTGCGTCGGAGGGGAGATTACTGTAAGGCTGCCGCCGGGTCCCATTCTGCGTCCGAGGGAAGATCACCATAAGGCTGCCGCCGGGTCCCATTCTGCGTCCAAGGGAAGATCACTGTAAGGCTGCCACCCGCCGGGTCCCATTCTGCGTCGGAGGGGAGATCACTGTAAGGCTGCCGCCGGGTCCCATTCTGCGTCGGAGGGAAGATCACCGTAAGGCTGCCGCCGGGTCCCATTCTGCGTCGGAGGGAAGATTACCGTAAGGCTGCCGCCGGGTCCCATTCTGCGTCGGAGGAAAGATTACCGTAAGGCTGCCGCCGGGTCCCATTCTGCGTCGGAGGGAAGATCACTGTAAGGCTGCTGCTGGGGCACACGGTTAGAGGACTCTGTCAGTGGGCATTTCCTGATCTGGAAAGTCGTGCTGAGCTTCTGAAAGAGAACCCAGTTCTTAAGAAATACAGGTGAAGTGCTTAGGGGTGCTTGAGCGATGCAGGCAGCACCAAAGGAAGATGGAAGGGATGCACAGAGTCACTGCACCAAGAGGAATTGGTGAACGTTCATCCATTTCAGGAGGTGGCATATGATCAAGAAGCAGTGGTACTGAAAGAAGAAATCCAAGTTGCATTGAAGAAATTGGTGAAAAACTAGGCTCCAGGAATTGACAGAATACCCATTGAGATGTTTTAAGAAATGGATGCAAAGCTGAAGGTGCATGCAACGATGGGTCTCTCCTCGTCCAGAGCAAAGAAGAATGAAGAAAAACAAAAATTCATGGAAGCAATTAGTCCTAGAGACTGGTACACCATGTGATCTGCAGCCTACACAACTATGAGATCAGAAGAACTTGATGGTGCCTGGCTTCCATTGTCAGCCACCTGGAGGGGGATCTATGCTCCTGGATAGAAGGGGAGAACAATATGAAACAAAACTCAAAAATCATTTGGAGGGAAAAAAAGGGGGGGGACTAGGTTTGCTGGTCTGATAGAGCCTGGTTGAACCACTGAAACTATGGCCCCTAGCTGCCCTTCAGGTCTGGAATTGAACTCATACCTGTGGCTTCCAGCCAAACAAAAGACAGCCATCTGAGCTGGACATTTACCTGAGGTGGATACACTCCTTGGAGAGAACAATCATGGGAGGAAGAAGGACTGTTTATGCACAGGGAAACAGCTCAGGGGGCAGGAGAGCATGGAAGGATGGACACAGGGAAGAGCTAACTGTCGGGAGGAAGTGGGAGGGGAGCTGTTACATTGTGATAAATGTCGTGAGACAGTGTATGTGAACTGCTGTATGGAAAGTGAATTTGCTCTGTAAATTTTCACCCAAATCACAATTTAAAAAAAAAAAAGCTGAAGGTGCTCACGTATTTATACCAAGAAGTTTGGAAGACAGCTGCCTCGCCAATAGACTTGAAGAGATTGACGTCTGTGCCCATTCCAAAGAAAGGTGATCCAAAAGAATGTGGAAATTGTCAAACAGTATCATTAATATCACATGTGAGTAAAATGTTGCTGAAGATAATTCAAAAATGGTTGCAGCATTTTATTGACAGGGAACTTCCAGAAATTCAAGTTGGATTCAGAAGAGGATGTGAAATGAGGGACTTCCTTGCTGATGTCAAATGGATCCTGGCTGAAAGCAAAGAACACCAGAAAGATGGTTACTTGTGTTTTATTGACTATACAAAAGTATTCAATTGTGTGGATCATAACAAATTATAGATAACATTGAGAAGAATGAGCATTCCAGAACACTTAATTGTGCTCATGAGGAACCTGTACATAGACCAGGATGCTGTTGTTCGAACAGACCAAGGGAATACTACATCGTTTAAAATCTGGAAGGGTGTATGTCAGGGTTGTATCCTTTCACCATACTTACTCAATCAGTATGCTGAGCAAATAATCGGAGAAGCTGGAGTATACGGGAAGACTCATTAACAACCTGCGATATGCAGATGACAGCACTTTGCTGGCCGAAAGTGAGGATGACTGGAAGCACTTAGTGATGAAGATCAGAGACTGCAGCCTTCAGTATGGATTACACCTCAACATAAAACAAAAACCCTCACAGCTGGACCAGTTAGCAACATAGTGATAAATGGAGAAAAGATTGAGGTTGTCAGGGATTTAATTTTTCTTGGATCTATAATCGGCACCCATGGAAACAGAGTCAAGAAATCAGACATTGTACTGCGCTGGACAAATCTGCTGCAGAAAAAGCTGTTTGGAGTGCCAAAGAGCGAAGGTGTCACTTTGAAGACTAAGGTGCTCCTGACCCAAGCCATGGTATTTTCAGTCACCTCATACGCATGTGAGAGCTGGACAGTGAACAAGGACTGAAGAAGAGTTGATGCCTTTGAATTGTGATGCTGGTGAAGAATAAAAATACCATGGTTGCCAGAGGAGCGAACGATATCCTGCAAGAATTGCACCTGGAATGCTCCTTGGAAGTGAAAATGGCCAGACTTTGTCTCGCCTGCTTCGGTCATGGTATCAGAAGGGACCATTCCCTGGAGAAAGATGCCATGCTTGGTGAAGTGGAGGGTCAGTAGAAAAGGGGCGGACCCTCAACGAGGTAGACTGACACAGTGGCTGCGATGATGGGCTCAAGTGCAGCACGCATTGCGATGCTGGTGCAGGGCCGGGCAGTGTTTCGTTCTGTTTTGCATAAGGCTCACTATGACTGGGAACCGATTTGACAGCCCCTAACGACAACCGCTGACTCGACCGCCCCTAATGACAGCCATGTTATTGGTTGTTTCTTGAGTTTGAAAACCATGCAGTGGTTCTCTGAGGAACCCTGTTCTTAGAAAATCTGTGTGAAGTACTTAGGGGGGTAGCACTTCAGGAAAGAACAGTGTGCGTGCATACACTGGACCATATGATCCACACAGAGAACGGCAAGGCACGGGGAAAAACGTGAGCAGTGGGTGTGTTTGGGTAAAGGGGTGCTTTCAGGGTCCTGCAACTATTCTCCCAGTTGTTCTGTGAGTTTGACATCATATCAAAATAGAGTTCCACACAAACAAGGGGTTTTCCGTGGGTCACAACACAGTGGAGTTGAGCAGGGGATAGACCCTGTCCCTGTGTGGAGGAAGGGCCATCCCTGGGCTCCCAGGCCAGTCTGCTCGAGTCCATGGGCAGTGAACACGTTCCAGACAGGAGTCTGCAATAGCAGAGCTCTGCTGACGATGCTAAAGAAGGTATCCCAGACAGCGAGGAAGGGGCTCCAGAGAGAAGTTTGGAGATGCAAGATGGCACGAGGAGAAAGCGACTGATTGGTCATGCCATGTGAGGATGTGGAAAGGCACAGTGTACGGCATGCAGCTGTGGGCAGGGCGTGGACTTGGGTTACCTCTGGACTTAGCACTGAGCAGGCCGGCTGCTGTCTTAGTGCCTGGCTGCCCCACAAGGAGTGATGAGTCCATCAGATGGACACCAGGAAGGGGGTGCACAGGAGGTGGGTGAGGAGCTCTGGAGTACACTGTGTGGGTGGAGATGGACCCCTGGTCAGCAGGAAGCAAGGCTGGGCTTGTGGTGGCTGAGGGGCCAGATGGGTGCCTGTGTGAGGGTGGTGACCCAGGGGATGGAGGGTGGAGGTATTTCCTGGACCCCCATTCCTGAGGGAGCTAGTGATGGGACTGAACAACTTCCTGGGTGCCATCCTCATCTGAGATGGGTCAGGGAGAGGAAGTGTACAGATGCAAGGAACTGAGAGAATTTTAAAAGGGAGGGCTCCCCAGGCTGGGCACACTTGCCCTGAGGGGAGCCTGGTCTTTGGGGTGAGGTATAGGAGCTGGGGCTCTGTGTGGCAGCAGCCAGGGGATCTTGTGGAGGAGTGGACTGCAGGCAGGAGAGGCCCCAAGAGCAGGAACCACTGGACGAGGAGTGGACTCCGCGCCGACCTCTGCTCTGCAGCAGGGTGGAGATCAGGTGCCCTCAGGTCACCTGGGTCCTGCCTCCCCCCCAGTATAGTGATGCTCACGTCCACCCGGCCCAAGCCAGGTGACTGGTAGGAAGTTAGTTCCCTCCCCATCCACCACACACAGTGGGGCACCTCCTGTTTTACTGACACTTGTTCTTCCTGAGCCGGGCACTGGTGTGAGGACCATGTGGGCTGGGTGGACCCCACTGTGGTCCCCTGCAGGCCCAGGTCTGAGCCAGGCCTCATGCAGCCATTGTGCTTCCTCTGCAGTATGATGAGCATGTCATCAGCCCGAAGGAGTTTGTCCACCTGGCTGGCAAGTCCACCCTGAAGGACTGGAAGCGGGCCATCCGCATGAACGGCATCATGCTCCGGTGGGTCTGCATGCTGTTGCCACTGGGCCTCGGTCTGGGCCTTGGGGCCGAGGTGTGTGAATGCAGGGAACGCAGGCCTGCGCGCTGGCGCCGCTGGGCCTCGGTCCGGGTCTTGGGGTCGAGGCGTGTGAACGCAGGGGACGTGGGTCTGTGCACTGGCGCCATTGACCTTTGGGGCCGAGGCGTGGGAATGCAGGTCTGCGTGCTGATGCTGCTGGCCTTCTGTCTGGGCCTTGGGACTGAGACTTGTGAACGCAGGGAACACAGTGAATGTGGGCAGCCGCCCTCCTGAGCAGCCATACGGCACGCACCCTGGGCAGCACACAATCCTTCAGACCTTCACAATTTTCTGCCAGATCTCTTAATTTCCAGACTTTTCACCTGGAGGCACTGATGACCCTTTTCCTGTTAAAACACGACCCACATGCACAGGATAGGATGGTGGCTGATGCCTCACGTTCAGGCACTGAGTGTGGCCTGATGTCCTTTATCTGTGCCTCTCTTACTCCCCATTACTGAAGTATCTGTACAAAGTGCACATGGTGTATGTGGGTAGCTCAGTGGGTGTCTCCAGAGGGGGCCGGCCGTTCCTGGACTCCTCCATGGGCCCTTCTCCCCTGATCTTCCCAGCACAGCTTCCACTCCTGGTCCTCTGGATGCTGTCTTCTAGTGAGTCGCCTGTCAGGGCCAACCCAGACCAGGTACCTGAGAGGGGGCCCAGAGGCATCTGGGCTGGTGCAGCAGTCCTAGTGATACAGGAAGAGGTGAGGGAGGCCAGGTGGCCATCCCCCGAGGCTCCATGAGGCCCCTTGACTGGGATTGGGTCTCTGAGAACTTTCCTCCCTTCCCTGACGGGGGGACAGACCCCATGGTGGGAAGGGGTGTGAGATGCACCGTCCCTCATGCAGGAAGATCATGGACTCCGGGGAGCTCGACTTCTATCAGCACGACAAGGTCTGTTCCAACACCTGCCGCAGCACCAAGATCGACCTGTCAGGGGCCCGCGTGTCCCTGAGTAGCCCCTCGTCGGCTGAGTACATCCCCCTCACCCCAGCCCCAGCTGACGGTATGTGTCCTGCCTCGTCCACAGCTCCACTTTGGCCACCACAGCCAGCCACTCTCCGCACCCCAGAGGCCCTCTCTCGTGTGGCGTGGCACTCGCAGCGCTGCCCCATTCTCTCAGACCCTGTGGGGTGTGTACATGTGTGTTCACATGTATGTCTGTTCACAGGCTGCACATGTGTGAACATGCATGCTTATGTGTGGTCATGGGTGTGTCCTCGGAGTGCCTGGCCACTAGGTGTGGGCTGGCACATCCAGGTTGGTGTCTAAGCTCTGGTGGCAGGAGAAGTAACATCCCCTGGAAGCCTTAGGCTCAGTGATGAGAGAAAGTCTTTACAAGTAGACTTGACATGGAGTGAACTCTCAACTCCTGGATCATGTGACACCCTTGTGTTGTCCCTGAGCTGATCAGCCCACACGCCCATCCCCGGCCCCAGCCCACGAGGCAGTGCTGAGGGCAGTGGCCTGCCTGTACCTGGGACAGGTCCAACTTCTCCCTCTGCCATTCTCATGGCGGTGTGAGCAGCAGGTAGTACAGTGTCATGCCTGACAGTGAGTCCATCCTGACAGGCCGTGCTGTCACTCCAGTGGCCGGCAGCAGAAGGGCTGGCCCATCAGTCTACTAGGGGCGGGCCTTTCTGCTTTTGGAGAGATTGTGGGAGGCTTGTCCTGGGATGAGGCTCACATGTGCTTCCTTTCTGGTTGCAGTGAATGGATCTCCTGCAACCATCACCATTGAGACCTGTGAGGACCCTGGAGACTGGACCACGGCCATAGGGGGTATGGCATCTGCCTGTGGCATCTGACGGGGAGTGGGGGCACCCTGCAGTGCCCCAGCTGTGAGGAAATGGGGATCCTTGTGGGGTGAAGTGCCTTTCACCAAGGTGGGTACTTGGCAGCAGAACTCCTTTGCTTAAATTTCCAGAACCTACCTTCACGACAGCCCCACCAGTGGCAACATGGGGCCCTATGCAGCATGGCTCTGAGCAGGACATCAGCTCTGTCCGACTCTGGGGCTGGGAGGGCAGTGCCTGGGCAGGGCCTTTGCTCATTGAGCCCACCTTACCTCACAGATGACACGTTTGCCTTCTGGCGGGGGCTGAAGGATGCCGGGCTGCTGGACGAGGTCATCCAGGAGTTCCACCAGGAGCTGGTAGGGACCATGAAGGGCCTGCAGCAGCGCGTCCAGGACCCCCCACTGCAGCTCCGAGGTGAGGCCTGCAGCCAGCCCCCCGGCTCTGGCAGTACAAGAGGGTGACCTTTGAAGAACCCTGCTGACGAGTCTCAGACTGGCAGCTGGACCCCAGGGAGGCAGGCCCTGTCCTGGAGGACGTGGCTGCCTTTGGGGGCTCCTGACCTCACTGTCTGCCTTTCTAAGATGCAGTCCTCCTCAACAACATTGTGCAGAACTTCGGCATGTTGGACCTGGTGAAGAAGGTGCTGGCCAGCCACAAGTGTCAGATGGACAGGTCCCGGGAGCAATACGCCCGCGACCTAGCAGGTAGGGAGCCGTGACTGGGCAGTAGGGAACAGTATGCCTGTGCCCTGGCAGATAGGGGTCTGTGATATTCCAGGCCACCTCTCCCTGACTGTCCTCTGCACTCTATCCTGACCACCCTTCTGCTCTGGCCACCCCTGACCCCACCCACCCTTTCTGCCCTGCCCGCCCTCTCCCAACAGCCCTGGAGCAGCAGTGTGATGAGCACCGGAAGCGGGCCAAGGAGCTGAAGCACAAGTCCCAGCACCTGAGCAACGTGCTCATGACACTGACCCCTGTGTCTCTGCCACCACCTGTGAAGCGGCCCCGGCTGGCACGCGCCACGTCAGGGCCGGCCGCCATCGCCTCCCAGGTGCTGGCACCGTCTGCACAGATCGCCCTCACCCAGGGCGTGCCCGTCTCCCAGCTGGCCAGTGTGCCACTCAGCAAAGTGGTGTCTGCCTTGCCTGCCCCTACCCTGAGCAAAGGCCCCCCACAGGCTCCGCCCACCAGTGCCCCAGCCTCCCCACTGCTGGGGGGCTACACAGTTCTGGCCGCCTCTGGCGCCACCTTCCCCAGTGCTGTGGAGGTGCACCCGGATGCGTCGAGTCTCACAGTCCTGAGCACGGCAGCCCTGCAGGACGGCAGCACGGTGGTGAAGGTGGTGAGCCCCCTGCAGCTGCTCACGCTGCCTGGTCTGGGCCCCACTGTGCAGAACGTGGCCCAGCTGTCCCCCGGGGGCGGCACGATCGTGACAGTACCCACAGGGGCCGTCGAGGGCACCGTGGCTGCCCCGGGGCCGGACGAGCACACAGCCACCATCGAGGTGGCCACTGTGGCTGAGGACCATGAGCAGAAGTAGCAGAGAGGGCAAGGCTTCTTGTGGGCAGGCAGGCTTGGCTGCCTCTCCTGGCACGTGGGCCATTGGGCTCGGCGGAGGGGTCCCCAAGGGGCTGCTGAACCAAAGAGAGGAAATGCCAAGAGAGGAGACCCAGGAGAGGGTACAAGGCACGAGCGCGGCTGGAACTGGGTCTGCACAGCTGGACCCCTTCCTCCTCCTTGGGAAATACATTTTTCCACCTGTTGCTTACTAAGGCTGTTCACATGCGGGCTTCAGCAGATTGAGTGGGAGGGCGAGGGATGGCGGGTGGCACCGGGCAGGCCGGAGCACGGGGCCTGAGGTCCACGGCCCCTGCAGCACCGCCCACTGGGCCCCATGGAGCCTGAGCCGGCTCGGGAAGGGACTTTATGCCACTTGTCTTGGGAACCAAGCCCAAGTGTGGACACTGGATCCTATGGATTTGGTTCTTCCTTCACCTGTCGGCTGCAGTGCGGCAGTATGTTCTCTACTCTGGGGACTTCTGTGGCCGGCAGGTCCCTATGACTCAGGGCTTGGGGCTGTGACCCTGACAGGAGGCTGTGGGAGGTGCTCCCTCTGCCTGGCACACGGGGCGCTGCTGCGCAGAAACTGTGAGTGTTGTGAGTGAATTCCTTAGACTTTCAGGAAGAGTCAGACGTATGTGTTCTCAACCAAAACAATGCTGAGTGCCTGTTCCCTGGCCCCGGCCCTGTTGCTCTGGCTTCAAGTGCCCTATTGGAGCAGCCCCTGGGCCCTCGGGTGCTAGGCTGGAGCTTGGTAGCAGTGGGGGGGCAGTTCCACTTCGCCTGCCTGCCGACTGCTGTGATCTGGGCCTCCCGGCCTGGGGTCTGGGGAAAGCCAGCGGAGTGGAGGCGCCAGGCAGGCCCAGTGCCCCCTCTGCCTGGGGCAGCTCTCGACGGACCCTGTGTGGCCGGCATCATCCGAGCTCCAGAACTGGGGTGGGCACAGGCAGGGTTGGGTAGCGGGCTCTGTCCCCTGGCGGTGTTCTTGAGTGGGCACCAGCTTCCTGCCTTGCAGCCCTCCACCACCAGGTGGCAGGGTGGAGGGCACGTAGGGGACGGGACTCAGGCCCGCTGCCCTGTCTCGTGGCTTTGCGGGGCCTGGCTGTGACAGATGGACTCCACCTAAGGCTTTCCTGTTGCCCATGGCAGTCTGGCATTGATGGTCTGTCCATCTTCCTGCCCTTCTGTCCTCCATCCCACTGAGTGCTCCAGGCCCACCACGGCCTGCCTTGTAGCCAGGCCTGCCCTATGCCAAGCTACCGACGTCCTGCCTCAACTGTCCTTTTCTGTTACTTGCTGTTCACTGATGTCATAAGTCAGCTGGTGTTGGGGTGATGTTGGGGTGATGGGGTGCTACTCATGCCCTCAAGCTCAGTTTTCCTTGACTTGAGAGTCTGCTAGGTGTGGCCCGGGGCTGCTCGGGTGACCCCGTCAGCCCTGCTGCCCCAGGGCCCACGCCCTTGGCACACACCAGCTCAGCCCCCGTTGAGAGCCACGTTGCAGATACACCTCTGGCCTTGCAGCACTGTTCCTGTCATGTCTCCTACAGCCTCGCCCTCAGACCTGACACTGCTGTGCCCCAGGCTGTAGGTGGAGCGTGGGTTCCTTTTACTTCTCTTTTACCAGCTTGACTGGGGGCCTTTCCTGCCCTGCCCCTTCGGCCATTGGAAAAAGTTAATGTTGGGGCCAAAGATAAGCCAGAGACCAGCTTTGGGTGATTCCGAGTGGCACGTCCCAGCCCTGGTGCCTTGGGAGGCCCCAGGCTCTGAGAACTCCCTCCACTGAGCAGACAGCAGCCCTGTAGGTGCCCCCAGGGCCCAAGGGAAGAGCTTGTCTAGGCAGCCTTGGGTTTGGTTTCCAGGGGAAGTGGCGCGGCACTGCGAGCCGCGGTGTTGCTGGAACCGTGTGGTGTTTTGGTTTCAATAAAAGCACCTTTCGTATGTGGTGTCTGCCTCTTGCCGTGGAGCTTGTGGGGGGCGGAGTAGCCATTTGTGGCCTGCCGTGTCCTTAGACAGGAGGTCTTGAAAAGACCACTGGGGCCCCAAGATCCACCTGTGTGTCCCTGACATCTTCACAGGAGTAACCTCCGCTCTGCCCAGCAGGGCTGCCCCAACTACAAGGACGCTGGACAACATGCCTGGAAAGGCCCAGCCAAGCTTGTGCTCCACAGGCTGGGCCCCAGCACCCAGCACCCAGGCCCCGGCACCTGCTTCCAGCGTTCCTGTCACTGGTCCCTCGGCCTTGGGGTCCTTATCCCAGATGGTCCCACTCGGCTCTGACGGGGAGGGCATCATTGTGTTGACAACTGTTCTGGTTTTACCTAGTGCTGCTCTGACAAGAATATACCACAAATGGGATGGCCTTAACAAACAGGAGTTTATTCTTACAATTTGGAGGCTTTAAGTCCAAGTTCAAAGTGCCAGGCTCTAGGGGCTGGGTGAAAGCCCTTCAACCTTGGGGTCTAGCTCTGCCTCCTGCTTCCAGCCCACTGGAACTAGAGGCATTTCTTCACTCAGACGGCTGCTGAGGCTGAGAAGCCCCCAAGGTTGACAAGTAAAAAGGCACAGTCCTGATATTACCAAACCACATGGCAAATTTTAAGTCCCTTGTAAGCCCAAAGTCCGCAAAGCATAGCAGGCTGCTGAACAATGACACGGCTACATGCAGGGTCCAAGCGTGCCATCGCCTAGAGACCATTCCCAAGGGCTTCTTATATACAGGAAGCAGACCACAGACCCAAAGGCAACTACTCAGCTGCTTGTAGATGCCACCATGGAGCTGGCTGCCAGTCTCCTCATAGACATTAACTACCACCAGCTGCCCAGCCACTCAGCCAGGCCCAGCCAGGTTGACAAAAACATAGCCACCACAATTCCACCCCTTGTCAACATGGCGCCTGTACAGACCTTCAATGGGGGGTATCTGTACAGGTCTCCTCCACTGGGTGGCTCCAGTCCCCTGGTTCCTGAATGGTGACCTCACCCCTTGGCCCGGCGGGGCCTGTTCCTCTCCCTCTTGGGCATGGCAGCCCCGCCCCCTCACTCCTGGGCAGCGGCTATGGCTCCATCCCACTGGCTCTTTGAAACCAGGCGTGGGGGCCCAGGGCTATGGTCACCATTATTGTAAGGCTCAGATGCCCCTGGCCAGAGCCTGTTGGATGGGGGACCAGGTGGCTGGAAGAGCTGGTGACTTGGGCCTACTCAGCCTCCTGGATGTGTCCTGGGTTGGAAGTGGGGCTCTGGTCTCAGTTGCTCCCCGTGAGATGGTGGCCTAGCTCTAGCTGGACTGGGGTCTGGGAACCATGTGTGTCTATAGTATCAGTCTCCCACCCTCCACACAGGCCTTCCTCATGGTCTTTGGATCAGATACCCACCTGTCACTCAGCCCATCCAGCTTTTGGCTGGAGGAAGAGGGGCAGTGGGGAGGAGCCCCCGGCAGTGCTAGCACACAGATCATGAGGGTCAGCCACAAAAGCATGGCAGGGGGTGGGGAAGACAAGGACTAGAGGGATACCACAGCCGAGAGACACGGGCCTGGGCAGGAGGGCATGGCCTGGTGGCAGTGGCCCTGGGATAGGTGGTCCTTGTGGGGCTAGGGCTGGGAGAGTGGCCCTGGGGTGTAGTCTCTGTTCCTCCCTTTCTCTCTGCAGGTACCAAACATGGGAGCAAGGGGTCTTCAGATCTCCAGCCTTTAAGATGAGGTCATACCTGCTGCTGCCTGAGTTTCTGGGCTGCAGAAAGCATGAGCATAAGAAATGGTTTTCTACAACCGAATTTTAGGGTAATCATTACGCAGCCACAGTAACTAGGACGTCCTGATCCATGACCGGCTTCTTTCCCACTAAGGCCCACATGCAGACCAGCCTCTGGGCTGCCTGAGGGGCTGGAGCGGGGGGGAGAAGCTTTACTGCTTGTGTTCTTCCCAGTAGGGACGCCATGGCTGGACGCCCCTCAGCAGTGGTAGGGTTTCCACAGGGCAGTTTTGTCTTGGCCCAGCCCAGGACCTCACAGACTTCCAGGGTAGATGCCATGCAGTTTTCACTGCACTGTGAGAGCATGACAAGTTTGTGCAGGCTTCTGGCTTCTGTCCCCAGCCTGGACAGGAGTCCTGTTTGGTGGGTAGGGTGGGCTGTGTTCTAGGCATTGGTAGAACCCATACAGGCCTGGTCTTTGCCCTGCCAGCCCCATCTGGGCTCTGGACCCTCTCCTAGTGAGGGGTGGGATGGGTGGCACCGCTAGCTCCCCAAACCAGCCAGAGTATACCACTTGCCTCTAAGACACTAGGTCCAGAGTCCCTGGGGGTCACTCAGTTGGCCCCACCTGCTCCTCCCCAGATATTCCTTCTCTGTTGTGACACCTGGTGGGGCGTCACATTTGAGTCAGCTCGAAATGCACTGAACTAATTTGTATGAACACACCTCACATGCACATGCACAAAGACACACATTTGTTTATTTCAGTAAATGGAATCATTGTGGTAAAAAGTACTTACACTGACTGCCACTCAATTCCTCCTCCAGCTCATAACCATCCCATTTTTGTAACATTTGTCTCTGTTCTTGGACTTTGCATACATGGAACTATCTGTTAAATTTCTTTTGTGTCTGCCTTCTTGCATTCATCATGTTGTATGACTTACCCATGCTCTTTGTATCAGTTGTACCGGTGTTTTTGTTTTCCCTGAAGGGTCTTTCATTGTATGAATACACCACAGTGTGTTTACCTAGGCACCTAATGGTGGACACTTCAGCAGTTTCTAGCCTGGGGCTATTAGGGATAAAGGTAAAATCTGTGTGGAGGTGTGCCTTCATATCTCCTGGGCAGCTACTGAGGTGTGGACTTGCTGTGTCGTATAGTAAGTGCGTTTTAACTTTATCAGAAATGACCAACCTGCTTTCCAAAGTGGCTGTTCCATTTTGTATTCCCACCAGTGATGTATGAAAGCACCTGATGCTCCATGTCCTTGCCAACACTTGGTATG